GAAGACTTATCTATTGTTTCTCCATATTGTTTTCTCAACCTATATATCATGAGACCAGTTCCGATCGGTGCTGACTGACCCTGCAKGAGTACTTTCATTCAGTAATAATGTGGGATTAGTTTTTAACCAAAAGTCACAATGTAACTAGTCCATGATTACAACCATTCAATATTCCTTTACAATCTTACCTGTCAATTATGTATTGTGCGCAAAATACATAACAATTATGAGGATTTAATTGATAACGGAACAGTTGTAATCATTGTACAATGTAAGCTTATAAGGGATTTTATGGCAGGCTAGAACACAGTCCCCTAAASATACACAAGTAACGTACTGTACCTCTCCTTCTACTGACTCAGCATCAGGGCTTGGAGACTCATAGTCATCAGTCTCATCTTCAAGTTCTTCAGCCGAATCTTCCTCATCTTCCATCTCCTCTTCCTCTTCTTCTTCTTGACCCTTAAATCATGTGATAGTACAGGAATATATATTATAAGCTGCATAACAAGTTACAGTCATTTTAGGGGTGGTTAATGCTAACTGTTGAAGTGTGATACATGTAATCAAATAGACACAAATAGTACTAAAAAGACAACATTCGGATCACAGCGTACTCAGGTGTATAAGTGTAATATCTATTTCACGGGTTTTTTAACTTCACTCTAAATCTGTGAAAAGTAATTTGACTAGTATGATAGTCAAATGTCACAAAAGAAAAAAACATGCTGTTACAGCGCACTAAGGTGTATTAGTGTAACACCTAATTCCCTTTTTTAGATCTYTAAACTCATGTTTTAAACTTTATTATTCACAAAACAAATCTTTTCAACTACCTCATTTGATTCTTTTGATTTCCCAAGTGGTACAATATCATTTCCCTTCTCAACAACTGTATGAAGCTGCAAAACAACATCAGCAAACGTTGAATTTCAAAATCAGAAGTAAGTCTTAACTTTTATAGCTTACGGATTTAAAAGCAATCAGGAAAGCTGCAGGTGCAGCTGTCTATTCCTGCACTATATTGTTAAACTTCCCACTTACCTGTGCTGTGTATTCGTCTTCTTCTTTTGTCAAAGCAGCATCATCATCAAATCGTTTATCAATGCTAAACCAAAGGTCGTCTGACAATCGAGGAACAAGTGAAGGAAAAACGGCCATCTTGAATTAATAAAGAACTCCGCTTACTGAATGTTCACAGGCTCAGTCCAAAGGCAGCCCGTTCTCATGATGGAGCTAATAGTAGCCTGCGTGCAGCCGAACCAAAACTTGTTGTTATGTTCGACGAACATAACAACAAGTTTTGGTTCGGCTGCACGCAGGCTACTAATAGGGGGCATAAAAAGAAACATGAAATAACACATGTAAGTTCAAATACTTTTATTCAGCATATTCTCATTTTTAAGCCTTTACAGCGGAGCTTGGGCTACCTGTAGTTGATTTCCAACTTTCCAAACTTCCCCAGGGTCGTGACCCTAACAATTTTGTCCTCCCCCTACCCCCAACAAAATTGTTACGGACATAAAATAATTGGAAAATTACTCCCACTCTGGTAGTCATGTGATAGAATTCTAAATTAACTTGCCAATGAATGTTTTGCAAATTTAGATGATCTATTACAGCTTAATCCTTATATAAAACACCATTAAATTTTATTATTATTATTTATTTAAATATAAAGAGTTTTTTGCTATTTTACGAGAAAAGAAATGTGAAGTCAAATTGAGTGGGCATCATTTTTCTTGGCTTTCAATTTCAAACAACTTCTGCACTACAGGGGATGCCAATGGCAAACGTTTCTCTTTTTCTTCTTTGGGTAAGAACTTGAAGCCTAGAACCCTTCCCAGACAATGCGGAGAATTGCAGAGGCAATCAAATGGCTGCGATACTGAATATTCTGTTAGAGTGTAGTCATTGGTGATTGCTTCCCCTTTTAGAATATCACGGGATGAAATGAGATACCAAGACAAAATTTGGTCATCTGACAGCTCCTCTTTATTGGCATCATTTCTTGCATGGTGGCAAACTGTGCATTTGGTGAGCAAGAATGGTTTGAATATATCACAAAACCAACACTAGCAATGTGGCTGTCAAGATCAATTTGAACTGTATGTCGCCCCCTTTCTTTGGTGACTTTTCCACGATAGTCTCCCAGGAAAATTCCTTTGGCAATATCAACCTTTGCAATCATGCTCTTGTAGCCTTTTTGCACTTCTATGACTTCCACACATTCTGCATCCATTTCTGCTAAATAAGATTAACGTACCTGAT